TACCAGTTGCAAATACTAAGAATGGAGAACTTGACATTTCCATAAATGTGAAAAAGTGCCACTATTATTTAATTAAACATACCTGTAGGAGTTACTACTTGCTTCTCAGTGAATGGCAAATGCCCAAGACCATGCTCCACCACCTAAGTAAGAAGCAATAAAATCAGTTATAAAACATTTAACAAAAAACAAACTGCAGTTTATGCATAAGATATAAAGCAGAAGGTACCAGACGAATAAGACGATCTGAATAGAAGACAAAATCATGCTTAGAAATCTCCCGGTCTCGAATCAGAGTATGCATTCCTCTAATCTGCACCACAAGTCTCACATATGAAATAATTAAAAGGAAAAAACAAAAAAAGAGAAGATACAGAGACCATAGACATAAAACTGAAAATTGTTGGGAATAACTTTAACTATGCAAGTGGAATCATATATCTAATGAGAAAAAAGTAAACTTGTGGGATATGCGCTCAACAAGGGTTGTTCAGCAGTTTCTTATTTAATATTCATTTTGACTCAGAAAAAGAAACTATACTGACATGCTAATCTTCAATACCTAGCATTTCTCTCATTTTCGCCAATAATGAAGCTTTAACTACAATTAATGTGGCAACATTCTGTCATACTGGTACACTAATAGTTGACCTGAGTATTTTAGGGTAAACGGCACATTATAGACCTGGACATCAATTTAGACAGAGGAAGAGTATTATGTGCGCTAGTAACAAGTAATAGCTGCTAATAACAGATATCTGTTCCCCTACATGATGAAACAGTTGCACAGAAGTACAATGGAAATAAGATAGAGATAAAGCACGATATATACCTGAAATGTTGACTGAATTACATACACATTAGGATATATTTTGCATAGATCATGCTGACCAAGCTTAGTGTGGATATGTTGCACAATCAAATCAATGGCAACATGATTATCACCTCCACGGGGGATGATGACATCGGCATACTTCTTTGATGGCAGAACAAAATCATCAAATGCAGGCTTTACAAACTTGGCATACTGCAGAAATAACACAAAATTACAATGTAATAATGAAAAAAATTAAATGTAACGAAGCACATTAATCAAAAGTTCCCAATAAGAGTTTTAATGGAATAATATGAGAATGATAACGTATTCTGTTTCAAATCTACATACAACCACTGTTTCTTCCCTGCCCTGGTTATCCAGGTAGCAGCATCTTTCCCAGGGCTTCACCCCTGTTTATTCTTCCAGATTTTCATTCCAGTGTTTCAATACAACTGACACCACACAAGTAAAACAAAACAATGCTGCATATCATGGCAAGTATAAATTCCGCCTCAGATAATATGACAATCTCAGGAAGTTTTTCAAGTATTAAATTACAAAGAAAAATACGGTATAGATAGGCTTACTTGTTCAAGAACAGAGTTTACATCCCTTCCCCTCTCAACTGTGTCTCGTCTTATTCTACGAGCAAGCCTCACATCAGCATCTACAAGTAATAAAAATTGCCAAATAAAATAGAGAACCATTAGAAACCATGAGAGCAAGAAAGAAAGAAACATGCTCAGAGAGAAAACAACAGATGCACCATTGCACATGCAAGCTCAACCCACGCACAAATGCATGCAAGACTCATTAAACTAGGTGAGGCCATGGTGTTCTTAGTGTATTTTATCAGTGACAATCCCCGGGAGTCTAAGAACCCAAGTTTGAAATTTCTTAGAATTGATTGTGTTGGCTTTGTGAAAACAACCATTGCTAAACGTTCCTCTTCTTCTTGCCGGGAGGAGGCCCGCTATTTACAACTTAAAAGTTTGCAGTTAGCAATTAATTCACAAGTTGACTTCGAGCTTTGTCTTATAAATGAGTTTCCAGATCAGCTTTGACACCAACCAGCTTTTTCTAGATAGACATTTAACTTTAATTTTGTTTGTCTTATATTTCCTGTTATTAAAACTTATAGTTATGACTTTTGTTTTGATTGGTTGGTAAGGGCTACAGGTTGTTTACCTTGATGGCTGTGCATGATATATTAGATCTTACGTAAAGAAAAGGGACGGAACATCTTCATCTTCACAAAATTAAAAGTATAGGCATGTCTACAACAATCATTGGAGGATGCTATGAGGATGCCAAGACAGTGAGGAACTAGATAAAAGATGTCAAACCTGTGTCAACAAAAATCTTCAAATTCATAAGGTTCCTGACATGCTGATCATGGAAAACAAGAATTCCTTCCAAAATAATGACATCAGAAGCGTTCACCTGATCATGGATGAAAGACAGTACATACTCATATAAGCTTGCTAACTTATTGAATTTATCACCAATAAAAATTTAGGTACTTTGCAATGCCACAATAAATTCGATAACAAAAAGTAAAATGCAAGTGTAAGCAATAGTCTAAAAATACAAACAAACAACCAAAACAACTAACACAAGTTCTGTATTTAATACACCTAGCCCCTTCCAGCATTATTATCAGCCATAGAAAGTTCAACAAAGATCAAACTAACTACCTGTCGAAAACTATCTGAAGATCGACGATGATGCTTAAAATCATAGATTGGGACCTGAACAGAGTGCCCACTTTTAAGCTTCTGAATACAATCCAGAAGCTGCTCAGTATCAAAAGCATCTACATAAATTATTAAAAAAAAATAAAAAACAATGCACAATCAGAACAATGCCATCCAATATAACAGTAGACAACAAAATTAGAAAACGACATCAAATTAGTATACCAGGATGATCAAAATTATACTCGTGCACGCGTTTCAACTCTTCAGTAGTCAAGCCGCGGTAAAATGAATCCTGCACCCAAAAACGAAAATGTGAGCCAACAGCTTGGTGAACTTCAGTTAATAACAGCACAAATTAACTTGAACTTGAACCTGATTGACAAGAACAACGCGGTGATCGTGAAGCTGTTGGATGATCATGTCACAGACTGTCGTTTTACCAGATGCTGTACCCCCAGAAACCCCTGCTTATTTAGGGCAAAACAAAAACTAAGGATCAAATTTTGATGATTTTTTTATAAAAAAATTAAAAAAGTCTTTTTGAATTAATTTTAAGATATGTTAGAAAAATTAGAGACAAGCAACAGGTATTCATAAAAGCAAAAACTTTGCTTCGTTTTTCAAAGCCAAAAAAAAAAAAGCAAAATTCAGCTACTTTTTGGATAATGCAAGCAAAAAAGAAAGTTTCTTTAATTTTTTCTTTTATCGTTTGTTTAGAAGAGAAGAGAAGTGAAGTAAGTAATACCGATGACGAAGGGCTGACGAGGAGCGTTGGCGTCGGCAAAGGCGGAGGAGGAGGCAGACGGGGCGGTCGGACTGCGGAGGCCGGAGAAGTGTGGCCCCGATGCCTTCTCCATGACATAATCTATGGACGTCGTCGCCTCCGGCATCTTTAAAAATAAAATTCGATTTCGAAAAAATCGAAATAAAAAATAAAAAGCAGAAAAAAAAAAACACTTGAAACTTCAACTCAACAGTTGAAGCAGATATATCGTAAAGAGGCTGCGCTTGCTCAGGTTATTCAGAGGACTATGCTGCAAGCAGGCCTATTCTTTTGTTATGAGCTCAGCTTCTTTATTGGTTAATCATCCTGCTTCTGTAAATCTATTTTTTTTAATTAATAACGCTTAAGTACCAAAAAAGGCAATAATTTGATATAATTGATTAATTTATCAAGTAAAAAAGGTAAATTAATACAATTTTGGGGTCATAATTAAGTTGAAGACTTTGGTACAAATTTGAGGCTAAGGAAGGAGTACTAGTTTATAAGAAGTTGATATGGATTAGCATTTGAATTTTCTAATTAAGTTAGTCTTATCATATCATAAGGATTTGATTTGAATTCAATAAGGACAAAATAAAAAACAATCACATGCTAGCTATTTGGATTAACCAAGGAACAAAATTTCTTGGGATGCATGATTAATGTGACATCAAACATGTGGCTAGGAAGTCAATTTTTATCCTAAACGTGTTTCCCCAAAATGAGTATTTGTTATATTTATTTATTTAAAATATTTCTGCTTTAACAGATATAAGAATTTTTTTTATTACTAGTTCAATATTTATAAGGAGATCAACAAATAGAATCAGTTTTGATACTATATTAAAATTTTAAGGACAATAAGTGAAGAGACTGTTAGTATATTTATATATTTAAAATATCTTTAATTTAATATATTGAGATTTCTTTATCATCACTTCGATATATTTCATACGAAAATTTTCTAGTTTATTTTTTTAGTTTGGGTTTTACATGTGGTTGATAGTCTATTGATGGTATAATATCTAAAAAAAGTACTTAAATTATTTAAAAAAATTAAATAAATCGTTATAGTTTTATTGCATTTAATTAAATATTTTTATTTTTATTTTGAGTTAAAAAATTACTTAAATTTTTATTTTAAATAAAATAAATTTTCATGATTAATGATTGACTTTGTCAAAATTCTATTTATCATTTTATATCGTATGGTATTAACGTGGTTTGATATCATATCATAATTGATAATAATGTTACATGTTGATACATCATAATTTATGATAATATAATATCTTAATTTGGCATGATGACATAATATATAAAGTGAATGCCAAATCAATTATATGTGAACATAAATAACAAAAGATATTTAGGTGGCTGCTGGCTACTGTACATTAGCAACCTGATTCCTATCCTTTAATCAGACTGTTTCTGCCATCAGGTGCCGACTTATAAAATCAATATTTATGACATCATTAATGTTCATGAAGTGCCAGAGATTTTCACAACAATTTCAGAACATTTTCAATGGAAATAATAATATCTTCATGTTTAATTCATTTTGGAAACTCCTGATTTGGAATATACTTGGACCAAATGCTGCCAGGTTATGCGTCCTGGTCCTGGAGCCCTGGTTAAATTTATTCAATCCTCTCAATTATGGCCATGATGATATATATATGAGTAGAACTAACAAAAACATATTCAATACTGACTACAATTTAAAGTCCCAAACAAAATGATTACTCCAGGGTTGTAAAATTAGCCCTAGCTTCAACTTTTAAAGCAGATAAAGCAAACTGATTCCTGACAATGCAGGAAGCAGAAGAAAGGTGGCAAAAGATTGAACAACAGAAGCCCCGGAAGTTGTTGAAGCCGAAGCTGGAGTAGAAGGTGCATTGCCAGCAACTGTTGTGATTTTCATCTTCATGCCCTGGTCACAGTGGCCTAATGTTCCACAAGCAAAGTAACGAGTGCCAATCTTGCTCAATTTCACAACGTCATCGCCAGTGTTTTTGGAGTCCAATGCTGTTCCCAGGTCGCAGTTCTTGTAGGCAGTCTCGCTTCCAAGCTCAACTACGCTGTGTAGCCCTGAAGAGTACTTGAAAACTGTTTGGGCAAAATCAAAAGTTTCAGGGCAACCTTCATGCAATGAAATGTGATTTGCAGGGAATTTGAACCTTAAAATATTGCAGAAAACAGGATTTCAACTGATTGACTTAAAGAGGAAAGGAAACATACCAAGTTGGTCTCCAACCTTGAAAGTTTGGCCTGAAGCCCATGAGTTAAGGTCCACAGATTCATCCCAACCTTGGCTACCTCCAACCACATGCTGAGCTGCAGAGGCCTGTTTTGCTATCAGGGCTACCAGAAAGAGTAGAAAGAAAATTCTGGACTTACCCTCCGTTGATCTCATTTCTTCACTGCCCTCTTGGCCTTGTAGGAATGTTGCTCTTCGTGCTTTGTCAATATATAAAGAAAAGGCGTAAGTGTTGTTGACAGTCTCTATCAGAATTTATATGCTTCCTCATTATACCCGTTCATGAATGAATGAATTCAGGGTTGGGATGCCTATAATTTTAAAACAAAAGAAGGGGCAATGTTGTTGGAATTTGTTAAGTGTTTTGGGTCTTTTGGATTGCCTGCAAAGCAAAATTTAGTTGGTTAGAGGTCACACAAACTTGGCGTTCAAACAAAGCTATCATGTGGTGATCATTTTCAGTTGGGGGCTTTCCTGGAAGCACAAATTTTATATACAGAGATATCAGCTTCACAAGGGAGCAGACAGACAAGTAAAGGAAGCTGAAAAACCTGTTAGTGATCATTACCACAGCAGGTCAGTTATTGGAATATCATTCATTAATATAGCTGGATACAAACAACTTTTTGGTTGAAAAATTAAAAATTGCTGGGTCATAGTAGGGTAGTCCTTTTATTGGTTACTTGTTCTTTAAAGCAAATAAAGCCATATAACTACCTTAATCTTAAATCTTGTCTTCTGCATCCAAATGCACTCTCATAAAGTTGTCACATTATAATTTATTTCATGATTTTTCACAGTAGTGCAGGAATTTTATTTTTAAAGTTTTATTTCTGACTGGTCTGAAACTTGCATAACAGTGCAAACAAGTTGACATGGAAAGTATCTTTATAAAAGCATCTGTGGTTTCTTATTTTTGGTCGTACTACCAACCAAATAGTCCAGACAGATCAGGTTACCATTTATAATGGCATATTTCCAATAGAAGTAGAAATGAGGATCAGAATATAATACAGAAACGGCTTTTTCAGGTTTACCAAACGGATTGTTACCCAGGATGGTTTTGCAAATAATTTCAATCAGCTGGCCATGAACAGAACTCTGATGTTTGAAGTGATTTATTATTGATCAAAGATTAAAAGCCTACAAGTCTTATCTCTCAAAAAAAAAAAAACTGAAACTTCTTTCAGGGATCATTGATGATTTTTAAAGAACTGAACAACTTGATTATACACAATATCCTTGGCGCTTATTCCCATAATGAAATCCGCATGAGCATAATTTTTGATGTACTGAACGGCGAGCTTGCCAACATCATGGAACTTCAGATGGTCAAGCAGCAGCTGAACATCTTGGACATCAGAGAGAGCATCTTGGCCTCCATAGCTCATGAAGATAGGAAGGTCATGAGGAATGTTGGAGATATTGTAAAGTGGTGGTCTGGCTTCTCCATAGTGCATCACATTGTAGTCTGGTCTGCCATAGTTGTATTTGGCAAGAACCCCATCTCTAACAGCTGTAATATTTTGTTTTTTAGAAGCCTCCATTGTTAGTCATATTACAAATTACATGTGAATAAGACACCACCATAAATCATTTTCCTCATTTATGATCATTTGTAAGACTAGTCATTCTTCCTTCAATTTTTTCATAAACACAGAATATATTACAAGGAAGTGATAGAAGAAAAGGTGGAGGCAAATATAAGGCAGAACTAGTAGTTGTAAAACCTCTATAAGAAGAGTTTGGTTTCACAGACTTACTTTGAGCCAAGTGCACCATGTTTTTGGTTGCTGTGGATTGAGGCTCATTCTTTAAGAAAAGGTTGACCGTGGATGAATTGAGACAGCAATTATTACCTTGAATTACAATAACAAAATGAAATCAGTATCTTCTAAAGGATTAAATCTATGCATTAATTAATTGTAGTCAGATAGTGAAAATTGTACGTAATTGTCAGCATATGGAGGCTAAGAACTTCAGAATGTATCTCGTACCAGTAAGTACATTTAATAGATCATAGCAGTCAACTCCAGGATAATTGCACAAAGAGTTGAGAAAAACAGTTGCCTCGTTTCTGTTAAGAGTAGAGAAAAATCATTATATGAAGCATTTTCTAGTGGGGAAGTCAATCCCTTAAACATAACAACAGTACAGCTAGAATGGAGAAAGAGTTTTAAGATCTTGATTGTTCACCCTTTCGGATTAAATTCTGCTATTCCAAACAATGTAGTTATCTGTTGCCAAAACCAATAAAACCATTTTGGCGATTAATATTTCTGTTAAGATTTTGGAATTTACTTGCATTTGATGATGAAGAAAAATGTTCCTCACAGACCTCACCAGCAAAGGCTTTGGCAGCAACCATACCGAGTGCAGTAGTCATGTGGCTTAAGTATGCAATTGGGCTTAATAGGACTGCGGATTTCAGCTTGTCCGCCTGATGGCCCTCTGAGAAGGATGCCAAACCTATCAGAGTTCCCTGTAAACCAGAATGGAAACATCACTTTGATTAAGGTTTTTAACATTTTGTCAACCCAAATGATCATTTGGGAAAGTCAGAGTTGGACCAATGAATCAAAATGAACTGAATGAGAATATAAGTTTGAATTCCTGACTCCAGAAGAAGATTAATTTGTTTGTTAAATGGGATCTCACCAGGGAATGGCCAATGTAATGAATCTTCTGCCCTGTCTGGTTGAACACGAAGTCAAAAACAGCTGGTAGATCATAAGTCACCAGTTCATCCCATGACCAATTCCAGAAATCCTGCCATAGTTTCAGTTTTTAACAATCTGTTAATCACATGATGATGCATGACTAACATCCAATTTAAATTCCCAGAAAGAACGAATTGTCTCCTTAAACTCGAAATTAATTGTCACAATTAAGGGAATCATGTAGAACTGTTCATGCATAACCCACAAGTTCATATTCAAGTTTCCAGAGTGTGGAGTGTGAAATAATTTGTTTTTCTACCCTTAGTTTTAACCATAATTTTTCAAAGAATACGGATCAAACTACATCGGTATGAAATTAGTAAGGGAAAGAAGAAAACTAACCGGCTGGGTAGGGTCGAGTGAAACGTGCTTTCTGCTGAATCTTGTCCCTCTAGTGTTAGGAATCCATACATCAAAGCCATTATCAGCCAAAATCATTGGTAGATTTTGCTCTGGTGAGTTCAGAAGCCATGTCATTCCATCCTGAACCAAAAAACAAGAAAAAATGCATTGTATATTAACCGAACATCTTGATCATGGCAGGAGGCAGCTATATTTTGAGGCTATCTCTGGCACATAAACCGACGGATAATGCAGCCCCGATAGTTTTTTATATTTGGCCACGTAAGGTTCAGAGAAACAGGAGACGTGCATGATTTGCATGTATCCTTTCAGACAAGGAACTAGATAGAGATGTTCAATTCTGGGTGTTGGTTGGACTTGAGCCCGCAAAGGTGCATGATTTTGTGTACCCATCCGCATTCTTGAGCCCATCTCTTTCAGCCCCGTGAACAAGGACAAATTTAATCAAAAATGAAAGTTGACCCAAGCATGATCACAATCCCAATGTAAGACATTAGCATATACTTGGTATAAACAAGCAATAATCATGCATTTTTCCATGGCATGGTTCATCCGCAGTTTAACTTGCATTCATAGCAAATGCAAAGAAAAGGGTCAAAAAAGAAGAAAGAAGGAAATGAAGTACATGACAAACTTTGCATCATGGAAGAAAATAAGCTGTTCTCATGATTAAATCCTTCAGGTAACATTACCTTTTTCTTCTTTTGCAAATAGGAGTTCCTTTTTTCTTAATTTTCGATCAGAAAACTACAAAAATAAACCTGGTGCTTAACAAAAGTATACACACGGTTCCTCTTTTTTAAGATGCTTGTGTGACACTAATATATATATATATATATATGAAGTAACCATTGCTGTAAGCTCTCACATCTGCAAGATCTTTACAAGGATTTGTCAAGAACATTCACCATCAATTTGAGAGTTGAGAGAACGCAAATTAAGGTTAAGAAGGCAATGCCATTAAACAAATTAACTAAATGCTTTGAGTCAAAAAGCATTCTCAAATTGAATGAAAGCTAATGCCACTTTTTCACCAGCCTCTTTATGCCCCACAAAGTGCATATTAGCGTAATGAAAGGTAGGCATTTTTGGAGCATAAATCAAGCCTTCTCTTTTCTCCTGAAAACCCCTTTTGTTACGGCCTTTAAAGTGCTCAACTTCATAGCAATTCCCTTGCAAAAGTTTGCCCTTAAATAAACGATAGTCCTGGACAAATTGAGTGCACGGCACATGTTTCCTACTCAGACAAGCATTTCGTTGAGAGGAATGATGAAGTTGTTTTAACTTAAATAGTACTAAAGTTATGGCACTGACCCGGAATGACTGTACCTTTCGGTCGTAAAATTTGTCAAAACATTGAGTCAAGTTCACACCCTTTCTTATAGTTTACACAATTCATTAACAATTTCACTTTATCGAAAAGCTGTAAATTAAACAAAACTATTAGTATTGTGAATTTCAACAGTTAATTCGGTATTATATTTTTTACTGAATCATGAATCAAAATCAAACAAATTTAGTAAATATAAATTATACATTCGAACATTTGGTTTATTGGTTGTTGTATTATTTTTTTACTTAAAAAACGAATTCTTTTTCTCAATTATAAATATATATATATAAATTATTATACATAGAGTTTGACAGAAGATTTTCCGAAAGATATTTAGGCACTCACCACAAGGACACCATGTTGGATCAATACTGGCTGCTTCTTGTTTCCACCAGTACTTTTCCCACCGACACGTCCTTCCGGAATTCTTTGCATGTTAAGGATAAAGCCATCTTGGGTCGTCACCTGAAAATGCAAATAAACCAGTTTCGTTAGCATACTTCTCTGTCTAATCCAGCTTAGTAGCAACATCAAAAGTCTGCACCAAACACATTTTCCATGTACTAATTTGTTTGATGCTCTTACTTCATGTTCCTCGCATTTGTAACCGTAGATGGTCACCGAGGTAGCGCATATTCCACTATCCGCTGTAGCGGCAGCACCATTCTTTCGGCCAAACGGACCACGGCTCGAGCCATATGCCCTATGAGGCATGACCACCAAGATCAGCACACATAAGCTCAACAAGCCAGGAGGAGCCATACTCGTTGAATGATATGGAAGGCTACTAAAACCAATGGCTATAAATAGAGAAAAAGAAAGAAGATACACGAGCAGGTGGGAAACCGATTACGATTGCTCCAGCTTTCTTTTTTTGGCTGAACTGTCCGCTGAGATTTCTTGGCCTAAAGTGGCGGGACTTTTGACGATATTTCCAGTCAGAAGGGAATGGAAAGTGGGACCCAAGATGCAGCTTTCCTGGTGCTTCTTATTATCAACAAACTGGATATCCTGATCCATGAAGCATCGTTGAAACTTTGTCCCTGGCTAATCCTGAAAGTACTGAACTGCAGTTTTTACCGTATGGAAGAGCACGGCGAGCTGGCTTAGATATTTTGTGAACTCTTGCTGTACTTTCTCTGCTGGGAACCCTATTTATAAGCTGAAACACTTTACATGAACAACAAAAATGGAAAACGTGGGATCCCCCATTGGGACATGTGTTGGTTCCTGTCAGGTTCCACCGTCCAGGGACGAGAATTGATCAGGCAAATCCAAATCGAGGTTTGACCTACATTCGGGGCAACGGTCTAAAAGGTTTAGGACTAGTTGACAGTGCTACACGTACGAAATATTTGTACGAAAGATGTGCTTACCAATTCAATATTTGCCTTAAATTTTACTTTTTCTTTAATTTTGTCTTCATTTCTACAAAATCGATATAATCGTAACACATAATTGGCACTCATACCAAGATCGGTCCATGGGATATCATATAAGCAAAAGTTAAAGACAAGTAAGTTGAAGATGATCAGATGAACAAAAGGTTGGAAATACAAAATTATAATAGTTAAACCAAATTCTTTTTGTTTGTTTTTGGTACTCTAGAAGCACACTCAAAGTAACACACTTATTTTACAATCACTCAAACAATATAGTTCAGTGTTTTTGGAGGCAAGAAGGAGGGTGAAGAAATTTCTATAGATTAACTAAAGGTTAAGAGAATATTGTTTTGGACATTTTCACTAATAATAGTGAAAAAATGAAAAAAAAATCTTTTAAACAATTATATTTGTTTAAAGAATTAAGTTTGTTCAAATAGTTATGTTTGTTTAAATAATTAATTATGTTTGTTCAAATAGTTATGTTTGTTCAAAAGGTTGTGTTTATACAAAGAGATATCTATGTCTAAGTTTTCTAAATATGAACCAACAGAAATAATTTACAAGCAGTCTCTCCATCTTTTCTTAAATTCCTTTTAAATTATTTGTATAATGTTTTGCTACAAAAAACCTTCATAGGATTTTAATAATGTTGTCATACATCGATAAGTGCTCGATAGATTGATTTTTTTGATGTAAATGTAATTAATTATTGAGTTTCATTATATTCTCAAGATTTGTTACTATAACTATATCAAGTACTATAAGTGAGAACGAATGAAATTTTAAAAAATGGTGGTATAAATACAAGCTTAAAAATCATTCCTTGATATTCTATTATTTTCCAATTCTGTATTCTAACATGTTGTATGCTTTCTCGGAAGTGTTTTTAAACTCTACCTTGATGAAGAAACAGGCCTTCTTATATAGAGAAGAGAAGAGGCTTGATTTTGTGTAGGTAAATTCTTCTTTGAAAAGGTTTTCTTGGCTGATTCCTTCCTAATAAGATTTTTTTTTTTCAACAATTTTGGAGATTTGGATGGTCCAATATGTTTTGTATTATTATTTTGCTTTCTTTCTGTGACTTGGAATTTTCTATTGACACTTTCTTACTGACCTTAGCACTTAGCTAAAACTATTGAAATCTGGCATCTTTTCCTGAAAAAGGCATAGAAGATGAAGAAAGGGTTTCATGTTCCACCAAAAACTCATATTTGTCCTTTCTGATTCTTGGAGTGATCCTATTTTAAGGCCTCTTGCTTCAGATGTCTTTCTGAAAAACCAAACAATAAATGGGAAGAACAATCATTATAGGTCAGATTGTCCAAGAACTAAACTGATCTTCATTTACTAGAATACAAAACATTCTCTAAAGATTTTGTCTTTTCTCTTTCTAGGGACTTAAGTGCAGAGCCTTGAAATCTTTCAGGGTTACAATAGAATTCTATAAAACTATTGAGGTCAATTTCATGCATGAAACTGGTGAGATATGTATAACCCTTTTTCTTAGTTAATCTTTACCTGTTAACAAGTTCTTATGGCATTAACTTTGGACTTTCATTTCTCACAATCAAATTCTGAATTATTCAATTCGGAATTATATATGAATTCAATTATATGTTTATGGTTGATAAAGGAGCTTGTCTCTTAAAATCTTAAGGAATGGTCCTTCATATCACAAAAACCTCTGACAATTTGAAACCAATTCAATGTTGATTTTGTCTCCCATGTGTAATTGTAAGCATTGGTTTCTCTATAATTGAAATTTTTTTCAATGCCAAAATTTCCCAAAATTCTAATTAACCCATGAAGCAAACATGGTTTTTTTCTTTACAAACATGCACCAATGCGAAAGGGAATTCAATAAGATTGGAAAAGGGCTCACCTCTGCTAAAACCATATCAAAAACAGCAAAAGCAATGCAGAGAGAATAACTGCAACGGTACGTAGCATGTGGATAAGTCGGAGCCCACACGCATCACTCCTTTCGAGATGGGCTTTTCACTCTGCTTTGTACCTTTCACATTTTCGCCACCATTGTTGGATTCAATTTCAGAGCAGGGAACAATGATTGTTCCAAAAGTCGTGCTGAAGTAAGGCTCCTTTTTCCAGGCTGTTTTGGGATAATAATGTCAGTGGGTAGAATTCTCTATCTGTCAGACTGATTCAAATTTGTGGGAGGTTCCAGGGCCACCTTGTCAATTATTAAATTTTTTAAAAATATATTTAATTTAAAATCAATTAATAATAAATTGATAAGTTTTTGTTATATTTATATATTCAATATATATTTAGTTTAGCATACATGAGATTTGTTTTAACATTACTTTAATATCATATTAAATTTTGAAATAAACTTTTAATTTAAAATCAATTGAAAATAAATGAAGAAGATCTTGTTATATTTATATAAACCAGATATCTATAATTTAACAAATGTGTGATTTCTTTGATCATCATTTTAATATGAGCTACACGTATCCATCCCTTGAGAAAAAGAAATTCACATGGAATTTTGTTATCTCTACAAGGAAATCTGTCAGTCGCTTACCCTTTTTCTAATCTTTTCTACTGCTACATCTTTTTCTTTACTTCATTTTATTAGCTCACTTTTAAGAGTATTCTATGCTACTGCCAAATTCTTTCTTGAAGATGTAAGTAACTTTGTATTAAGAGTCTTAGATTCAGTCATTGTTGTTCCATTAGCAATGAAAAAGTTTAAAGCTGCAAAAAGCATATTTCTGAGGGTAGGTCCGGTATTCATCAGCCTGCCAGGGGTGGATCACCATCCTCCAACCATGCTTAAACCTGGTCAAGATTTTCTGGCTCTTCGGGTTTGTTGGATTGGAGATGGTGCCAGGATGGGCTCTTATCACTGTAGGTTTGACACTTTACATATTGCCCTTTGGGCCTAACGAAGTCGGCTTCAAAACAGAATCTGCCAGCAAGTTATTACTCCTTGTCTCCATTGAATTAGCAGGCTATACTGCCAAAAGGATTTGACCACTTCTTCAGGTAAATGCGTATCTCAACATCACACCAGAGAACACAGAGTGGTCTTAAAAACCTGGTAAGCTATTATATACCATATCAGCAGTTACTGTTGCTCCAGCTGAAAATGCAAAGCTCAACTAAGATTTAAACAGCCTGAATTACAGAAAGAACTGCACATAACACCTCAGTTGCTTAATATATATATAATATATATTCATTACAAGGGCCATTTACGATTTTCCTTCGATTCTTCTGGTTTTTATTACAGAACACCTGTTATGTATTGACTTCCTGTCGAAAAGAAAATTTTTTACCTTAAGGTTGATTGAGATGGTAAAATCCTAATAGGAGTTCTGCATCAAACATTTACTGGGCTGCTTTTTACATGGCCTGGAATCCAGAAATCCCATATGTATGTTAACATGACCCCAAGGCTTCGTGAAATCTGACAAAAATTTGAAGTTTTCTCAAGGACATGATCTCTGGGAGTTAAGATCCGGGCTTCCTCAACCTACGGGCGGTTAACATGTACAACTGTTGCAGGGCTCATCTTCTTCTTCCTCTCACTAAAACTACTGCATGAAACCAAGCTTGGAAGGCAGCACTGCACAGACTTAAATGGCTTCTCCTTAAAAATGGGGTTATCTCCATTAGCAGTCCTTTCACTACTGCACAGGGAGTTAGCTCCAGAGACATAGGGGGTAGCATCTGCAGATTTTGGAGGTAGTAGGTCTTGTATAGTTGGTTTGGCTTCTATCTTTCCATTAGCAAGATCCTGGTTCCTTGGGGTATTTAGCTCATTAACATCTTGGTCTTCTCTAATGCTCTCACGGAATAGTTCAACCAGCTTCTTTTTCTTTCCTGTTGGGGATGTTTCAGGGACTGACCCAGGAGATCCTTCCTCAGTGCCCTTCTTAGCTTGAGGTGTCCCCATGGCAAAGCTATGATGAACAGGGGTATTGCCACGAGATGGAGTAAAATCTGCACACAAATGTACAACATTTTGATGGGATAACAACCATAGAAAAGAAAAAAACAATCCTAGAGAATGCTTGGTCAAATAAACCTAGAAAAACGACAATCAGATAGCACAGTCATATTACAGCAGGACTAATAGAGGTGTTAAATCTTTACTCATAAAACACTCAAGGCAACATTGTCAAAACTATGACAAGCTAACAACCTAATTTTAATCATGAAACTTTACCCACGAAAATTGAAATTATAAAAACTAAAATTTATTGAAAAGATGAAAAACTATGAGCGCTGTAGAAAACACCAGAAAAAAAAATCAACATATTTGGCAATTATATAAGCTTGCTAGACACATTGATTCAAACGGTTTTAGTATTCTTACCACCATTGACACTGAAGAAATCGTCCTCACAATCTGAATCTAGCCAGGCTCGGGAATCAAAAAAAGTCTCATCTTTACTACCTGCACCAAGCAAAATATAATTTTAGCTTAAGGTATTCAGATAGCCTAAAAGCAGGAGTGAACGAAGGAAGTTAACGTTTTAGCTGAACTACATTGACATACTTACCATAGAGTTCATATCTTCAAATTAATTAGGAACCACACCAACTTGATATTGAAGATTATTATACAATGATATGTGTTACTTGTGAAAATTTCAGGAGGGTTTGAATTTTGATCACAAAATAGCAAAGATCTAACAACTATGGAGAAGCAGTCAAGTCAAAACACAAGTTTCAGAAACAGCTGCATCCAAGTGTTCAATATGATCTTAATTTGATGTTGAGATGGTACTTTCTACAGCAGTCCTACCCCACAACATAACTAAATGTCAATTTTATTGGAGCTATTAGTGCAATTTACCAACCCACCCATCTCCACCCCAAAAATAAAAGGAGATACTAGGTATCGACCTATTGCTCAGAATCATCAAAGCAGCAAAGTTTAGATTCTCCCTGTCAAGATGAGCTAAACCAACAGTGATAGGTATGCGATGTACCAAACAACCAGACACCCACAAAAAAGTGATTCAGAGTTGATAAGGGTGTCATCACTTTGATATTGTATAGACATATCATCACTATTAGCAGTCCTAAGTTTAATAGCCAAGTCTATTGTATTGAACATAAATTCTAGAAGTAGTAAGGACAACAACAGAATCCACAATTTGTCTTCCATGGGATTTCATCTTAATGTCAAATTAATTACAGTAATGTTCACAAACCAACTTGCATAGAACTGTTTGCTCCGCCTTACTTTTGAGAGTGGTCCATCCATCAACCAGCTTTCCATCAAGGGCTGATAAATCTACCACAGGATGTACTCCTCTAAATGGGGAGGAAAAAAACATGGGCCACCACAAAGGTGCATACTTCCAAAATCAGACAAATTCTCATAACAACCAGTAAGGATAAATACAGGAAGAAGATTGTTGATTGCTAACATGTTTTTATGATATAATATTCCACATTATATGGTAAGGCATTAAACAAGGGCATCCAATCAGCCTGAATTATGATCCATCCTATGGGCCAAGTTAAGAATTTCAACTCCAATACTGCCAGATATAGGAAATTTTGCTTCATCTCATCTTGAAGTAAATTTCAAGATTAGCAATGTTTTCGTGTAAACTAACAATATTCCTATACGCCTTGCAGTTCCAAATAGCGAATGACTTTTCTAGCAAGAGAGAGTGAAACAAAAGAAAAGCTACTTTTCTGTTAGAATTCTCCATCTTCAACTGTAAGAGAGGAAAAATGGCATGTAGTAGTAGTCATCTAGTTAAACAGTGTTCTGTTAACAACAAAACAATATCTTTTTCCAAAGACAGAAAACTGAACTCTTATCCAACATAAACTAATTGAAACTAGTAACAAGGAGGGGAAAGGGGAAGTAAAAGAAAGAGTCCGGATCATCAATAAAGAGAAGGAAATCCTACATTTAGGCTATGATAGAAGAGCTTGCACTAAAATAACACAGAATATGCTCTAAAATGACCCCAAAAAGGCCATACTGGAATGAGATAAGAAACCATAACATGGAGAAAAACCAGATTTTTGAAAAAGAAAAAGAAAAAGACATCATGTCTATTCTAGCTCACAATCAACAGAGGCAAAACCAATTTCATTGGGCATATTATTCACAGCAGACATGTAAGAATAACCGTAAAAATCAATAATTGGGAACACAATCATTCATGAAAACCAAAAGAAAATTAATTTTTTCTAAAAAAAAAAACCATAGACTGCTTGATATCAAGATCAACATGTTAGTAGTAAAAAAATAACAGCTTTGACAAACCCCAAAACCATTTCAGATCTCACATCATCAAAATAAATCATCATCAAAAAACACAGAAACAGAGAAAAGAAAAAGGAAGAGAACTTTACACTCCATTGAAGATAAAAAGTGAAAACAAGTAAAAAGAAAATCCAAGATATTGCCTTTCCCTCATAACCAAGAAAACTAACTCTAACAAGTTTCTCTGTTTTTTTTTTCCCCAAAACAACACAAAGAAAACCAAAAAGAAGTCCAATTACCTAAATCTTTCAAAGTAAAGGGAGATTGAGATTTGAGAGTGAAGTCATCATTGGCAGCAGGTTTCTCTTTAACAGGTGAAGGTGGAATGATCAGCTTGTCTGTTTTAGACCCAAAAGAAAGCCCAAGTTTCATGGCTGACTCTTTAGAGCTCTTATGCACTGATACACATGAACCCATCTCTCTCTCTCTCCCTCTCTCTCTTTCTTTTTCTCAATCTCCAACTATTCAGAACCAAAACATCAGCCACTCACAAAGCAAAAACGAATGAAACTTTCTCCCCTTTTCTCAATGGCCTCTGCAACCCAAAAAGCACAAGTGAAAGAGAGAGAGAATGGGAGAGAGAAAGAGAACGTTTTTTGGCGTTATGTTAAAGGAGAGGAAAATGCCTCCTCAGAAAGAGAGAGAGTTTGGCCTTGAATTGAAAGCGAAGTTAGCATAGCAAGCACTGCATGAAGTTTTTTTGTTTTTTTTTGCAGTTTACTTTTTAATATTTCTTTTTTTGCATATAAATAAATAAATAAATAAAGTGAAAGTGGTCCCCTTTCAAAGGATTTTTTACCATTTTGGTAATTTTGTGGAACCCACATTAAGTTCTTTGACTTAATATGATTCTTGTGAATTGTGTAAAAAGCTGTCTTTTCATACTTTTTTATTTATCCTTTTTTAACCTGATTTTTCTTGTATTTTAACTGGTTTATTAAAAAAATTTAAAATTGATAGATTACCTTAGTCTTAAATTAAGATGAAATTATTTGATTTCATACATTAGAATTTACTTAGTAATTTAAGTTAAAAAATAATTTTTAATAATGACTTTAATTAATAATTCAATTTACAAATGTAACAAATTAAATTCAAATTCACTTGTTAAAGGGGGAAGATTGAAAGAGGTCTAGGCCTAGGTCCACTATATTTATTATGATTAAATAATGGAAGGTATGGGATGAAGGAAGAAGAAAGGTTGGGTGACTGTTAATGTTTAGACAAATTTCATTGAATCAGAAGGTCTTAGGTCACCAAATCACCTTAATTTTTGGGCCTTTCCATATATCCTAATTATTGAATCCCCAATTTTCCAAATGTGTGTGCTAAGTTACTTGGGATGTTCACTTTGTTGGTTCTTTTATTGATTTTTAATGCAAATTCCCAAGCTTAGAATTTCACAGCTAGGCATGGAATGAAATGCCCAAAGTTTAATCTAAACAAAGCATGGACAGTTCATCTCTCTCAAATCATATGTTTAATCATTGTTTCTTCCCCAACTTTGCTTTTAACTAATGGAAAATGTGTTGTTCAATAAAAACAAACAAATTTGGCTCCCACCTGGGCTAAGATTCCACCAATCAAAACTCTTGAACCTTGCCTAAACTTTAAAAAAAAAAAACCCCATAAATATTATTTAAATAAACAATATAAATGTGAAAATTATAAATATTAAACCAATAATTCTTAATTTATACATGTGTTGCACATTAAACAGGTTTCAAAGTTATTTCTGGTCAATAACATATATTGCTTTGAATCTCAACACTTTTTTCTACTTTCCAAAATGCTAATTTATGACTGTTTCTTGTGCATGACAAAGAAGAAGATTATATAAGAATAAAATTTTGGGATTCAAATTTTATGTGCCATGCCTTTGGCCAACTAGTAAGAATATTTGCATTCATGTTTTTTGTTGGATTTAGGGTTTGAGTTTGGTAAAAGTCTTTATATACAATTGATGTTGTATTGGTCTCATAAATACATGATTTAAATGCAAAAATTATAGCACAAAAGTTTTGAAAGATTTTTTTTACTCTATTAAAAGAAATTTCAATGAAATATTTCGATGGAATATATTCCTGTAGAAGATTAAGAGAGTAACTAAATCAATTTTGGAATCAACTAAATAAAGATGGAAAATGGGGTTCTTTCTAAATTTTGAATGACCAAATCAAACCGGTGTATTTAGAAATTAGTTATTAGCAAATGGAAATAAAGTTAAAATATTAATTACTTAAACAGAATCTAAGATACATTTCACAAAATCTGCCCTACCAAGTTCATGCAAAAGATAAGCTAAGAGGTGAGGGCTTAGCTCTCCGACTGCCCTACATATACTCAAAATGTCATAACATGATATAGCCCCTTGAATTATCTAAATCATGGCTCTCAATGGGGAGGAAAAGTTGAAAATTATGTATGAGAAAATCATTTGGGATAAAGTAGAATGATTGAGCTTGAAAAGAAAATTAAAAAGTCTGAGTAAACTTTCCAGGATTATGATCAGTAGGAAAAAAAAATCAAAACTAAAATAAATACACATAAGAAGGTGCTTAAGAGACCTTGTGTCATGGTACAAGGTTGATTGGCAATCAATTTCTTTAGTGGGACAGGGAAAAGTACAGTTGCAGATGGAGATTACACCTTAATTCCTGGTCTGAAAGAAATCCAACAGAAGTGGGATTGCTTGCTAATCCCCATGTTTCATTGAAAATAATGGAAAATTTTGGTATCCATGGAGAGATCACAGACAACAGATGGAGTTTTTCAGCCCAAAATTTGGTGGTTAACTGAATTATTTTAAGGGTTTTTGGTAGAGAAAACAAACTGAAAGCTGGACTGCTGGGGCCTTTCATATGAAGCTGAGAGATTTTTTCTTGTATGAAATGGTTTGGTTTGTATCTTTTTCACAAAAATTTATTCTCTTCTTCTTAACTCCATGGATGTGTTGCTGATCAGTCATGTCCATATTATCTAAGTGGGAAAAATACAATTAATCTCCAAGATTTTGACTGCTTGGGCAAAGAAAATTAGTGAAACATCTGCATTTATGTTACACAACCACCAACAGTCTCAAGTGTGTTTGCTTGTTCTTCTTGGAAAGAACCTCTCTTCTTCATATGATTGCTGCTTTAGCTCTTCTCTTCAAAGAATTCCAACTCATACCATTGAATATCGAAATAAATAGCAAGAATAAACCAGAAGAAAATGAACCATCCCAAGCAATCTTCAATATCATTGTCATGAACCCCATTGTTAACTTCATATCATCCAGCCACCTCAAGAGAACAAAAATTCAATAAAAAATGGCCAATGACCATATGTAACTATGCTTGCAAACAAAATACAAGAACTAGAAATCAGTACTAAAAATTTCTAACAAATTATATATAATCAAATGCCCTTTTCAACGATAGTCATCAAAAGGACGGTGTATTTTGTCTTTGTTGTTTTTAATTTAATCATTTTATTTTAGTTTGTTTTGTATGTACGTGTTCATGTGCGCACACGAGCAAAAAACATTATTGAATTTAATATGATGAATTATTTGATATCATAACCCATAAATATCAAGGTTCACCTTATCATCTTATCCACAAATTGTGGCTACCCACTTTTTCAAATTTAGCTACTAATTATGACTTTTGGGTTATCAAATGGGCCAATTGTTCTTTTCATGTGAAAATGCTTTTAGTCTAGGAATTTGACTGAGGTTTTATTATCTTTTTACCGCTTCAAGTAAGCTAACCTTTTTCATCATGAAGATTGAAGTCTTTCCAAAGATAGTCAAAGGTCAAATTGAGATTAAATAGTTCTTACTGTAAGATTACTTTTCAAGTTTCTCTTTCCTCATTATTGGTTCACAAGACCTTTGATCATGTGTCATATACAGGGTAGGTTAAAGTTTTTTTCATTGAAAAAAAAAAAAGGGATAAATTCTATAAACAGAAAATTTTAAAGAAGAGAAAATAATATTTTTCAAAAAAATTTCGAGATTAACATCACATTTTTAATAAAATTTTTATAAATCAAATACTGTAATATTATTTTTTTAAAATTTAATTTATAAATTTTTATATATACTAAACCTTGCAATCACAATATTATCTTTCCAACAATTTAATATCTAACAAAATATTACATATTCATAGCTAAGCAAGAGTTAGGACTTAATGTTTTTGTGCTTGATAATCTAATCTAGACAAACTCCCACTTATATTAAAGCATAGAGGTGAGCAATAAAGATTGAGATAATTATGATTTCAACTTTCTCTTTGCTTTTTGCAAGCTCACGAGAGGATAATTAGTTATGTCTAATCCCAAGACTTAAAACAAAAGGATGATTAAATCAAAGTTGATTATTAGCTTAGGAGGGACATGTTTTGCTTGGTGGAAGTGTTAGGAAAACATATGGGCTGTGGTGGAGGGTCCAATTTTTGCAAGAAAATTCCAAATTCCCCAAAGAACCAAAATGTGGAATATGGGAACCCACCAAAGTTGCTTATGCCTAGTAATGCCAAAAAAGCAGACAAGTTTTGTCAATCAAATGGCATTAACCAAATTCTTAATCAAAAGAATATATTTCTCTTGTCTGTAGCCTTTTTCCCCTGGTTAGGCCAAGGCCACATCTACCACCCCCAGTATGTCTTTGTCTGGCGGTTTGAGCCTCACTTTCACATCAAATTATCATATCTTTGGAAAGGTTTTAGAATATTAATCAATCAAGCTTTGAATCATGAATAATAGAAAAATTTTATTAGAGATATGTCGGCTGAGTCACGTGGTGGCCCACCGAAATTGTGATTTTTATTTTTATTTTTTGAGTTAATTTTTGAGGTTAAACCATGTGATATTTGTCTAAGTGATTCTCTACAATTCTTTGATTAGTTATTTAAACAAATCCAACTCTCAAGTCACTACACATAATAATATTATTATCCAGTTCTTAATCTCATGGGTTGTAGCAAATACTAGGAGGAATCCATCTCTTTATTTTCTTAGGCCCAAGACTGCAAATCCATTTTCCTCCCAGCCAAACAATAAGAAAGCCCAACGAACATATAAAAGGCTCAACAATAAGGAAAGCCCATTAACCTGAATAACGTTTAATAATTAGGGTGATCGATTGGTTCGGTTTTGAAAATTAAATTAAGTGAATTTTCACAAAAAAAAAACTGAACCGATTAAATTGTATTCTAAAATTAAAACTAATCGAAACCGACTTATATTGGATTAATTATATCAGTTTGATCGATTTTATTATTTTTCAATATTTTATATTATATTAATTATGTTTATATGTAAATTATATTTAATTAATAATTAATTTTTTAATTGGTTTGATTCAAATTTTAAATATCGAATTTAATCGATTTTAATTAGAATCGATTAATGCTTACCCCTATTTACGAAGCTCCATATGCTTTAGCTTTGGCTCTAATGCAAGTGTTCATCTCCATATGATAGTGAATATATATTTCATATTATTTTATTCAAAATATATTTTTTGCTTATTTTTGGTACTAATACATATATATTTCACTTTTATAAATTTACGGATTTCCTTCATATTAAATTAAAAATATTGACTATTTATTAAAACAGAATATTACTATTATTTAATTACATAATTAGATAATTACGCATCAATTTTCTAAAA